CTACATACCTCTACAACTGCTAATGATTGATCTGCATGACTTAAATTGCACGAACTTATTCTTGATCACATTAAAGAGATTTGATATTATATGTTGCGAAAGAAATGGTAGAGAATGAAGACATATTATGATTAATATTAATGTGATTATTATTAGTTGTAGTAATCATGATTGTATATTTAGATGAAGGGAGAAAATTATTGCTGGGCCTGGGGTATTAAGGCTATAAGCTGAGCCATCATTTCTTGCATCTGAGACTGTTGTTCAGCAATAATGGCTTTTTGTTCATCCATATAAGCCTGGACTTTGGGATCAATTAATTTAGGGGTAAAAGCATTATTTTCATCAGAGGAGGAAGAAGTGATTCGAGTGCATTTGTTGGAACCAGAAGATGAAACATTATGAGAGGTGATGGGAGGTTCAGAAATGCTAGGAGTTGAGATGGGTGTAATTGGTGAAGGAAGAGATAATTGGAATTGTTCTAGTTTGATAATATGGCTTTCTAGATCAGACATTGCTTTTTGCATACCAGTTAGCATGCTAAGAATTTTATCAAGTTTTGCATTGGTGTCATCTTTCTTATTGGGATTGTGACTGGAATCATTTACTGAAGAGGATTTAGGATTAGGATCCTTATTTTTCCCTTTGGTAACGTTGGAATAAGAGCTATCATTCTGATGATAGTTGGTATTTTTGTGAATTAAGGAACGGGAACCAGCTGGTTTGAACCTATTATAGAGTCTTTGAACAGCTGGCAGTTGATTTCTAGGTCATCTATTATTAGAGGTGTCATCTTTAATTGGTTGTTCGATCATTGAACATTTTATTATGAGATGTTCAGTAGAGCCACATTTGTGACGGCATTTAGCTTCAGCAGAGTACCATTGAAGTTCGTGATTGTTAAGAGTATAGGGAGTTTTGATTGCATCATTTAGCTCTTCTTCAGATTGAAAATAGAATATAGTGAAAGGGCGAAGCTTGTAATTGTTAGATCTAGGAATGTAATATGACTTTGCTTTAGTAGTAAGGGTGATATCATGAAGGTCACATGAGGAAGTACTGAAGGGTAGATTGGTCAGTTTGATACGAAAATCATTTCTAAGTTTAACCTGTTCAGAGGTAAAACTTGCGGGATAGACTCTAACACTATTATTGTACAGATATCTAGATCATTGTTTATAGAACAATGCAATATCTTGTAGCTTTTCATAAATGATGTAGGCATGCTGCCACAAACCCTGTATTTGCATTCTAACATTGATAATATTGCCATATTTGGAGAAGAAGGATTTAAGGGTGTCCTATTTCATGTTCAAGTGGATGTCAGTGATATACAAGGTACATTACTGGAATTGCATATTTTCCTTGTATGCAGCATATTCAGTGAACTGTTCAATACCCAAATAAGGAAATTTCAGGTTGATGGCGGTGTATATTGCTTCTTTATTGTCGAAGTACAGAATTGCAGAACAAGTAAGGTTGACACGTCTAATATTGACCCCTTTGACAAACAAATTTTCATTAATTATTTTAATGATAGTATTGGTAGGGAGTTCCTTGGCAGTTTTGTTGATAGTAACAGCACAAGCGAAGGGTGTCGGACGAGAAATAATGATGAAATCTTTGGTTTCAGTTTCCATATTGTCTTCATTAACAGGAATAAATTCATCAAGATCAATAAGGTTAGGTGGCAAAATTTGATGAGAGCCATAGGTTTCAGATGCAATATTTTCATCAGAAGACAAGTCTTGGTAGGATTGTTCAGCAGAGCTAGAGGCAATATTCTCTTGTTGCTTTGCATTTTTGTCAGATTTAGC